GGGGGGACGGAGAACAAACCTGGGGGGAGGAGGGGAGTGCTGGGGGGCCAGACTCGGGGTGGGGAGTGCGGGGGGGAGGGGGACGGAACCTGAGGGAGGGGTGCTGCAGGGGACGAGGAGCGGACCCCGGCTTAGAGAGGTGCTGGGGGGACAAGGGACAGACCCGGGAGGGAAGGAGGGTGCTGGAAGGGACGAGGGACTAAGACACTGGAAGAGAGGAAGGCACTGGGGGACCGGTCGCCCTAGTGGACCCGGCCGTCGGGGTGAGGCCCGGCCCCTGGCGTCCGCCGCTCACCTGCGCGTGGGCCACCACCAGGCTCTTGTTGCCCTCACCGTGGTACCCCCATTCATTCTCGTCCATCTTCCCCTCGTCCATGCCCCGGCGCGGCCCTGGCGCCTCGCGGGCTGAGACGTGGGGACAAGAGCTGGGGCCGCCAGCCTAGTCGAGCACCAGCAGCCGCCGTCCGGAGAGGAGCGCCTGTCAACTGCCACCCCCGCTCGACCCCGCCGCCGCGACTAGCTGTCGCAGGCCGCCGNCAGTGCCGCCTCTGCCCGAGGACTAGGGTGCCGCGAGACTCCGCCTGGCGGTGCAACGCAGGACGGGCGGTCACCCTCCCGGCCTCCGCACCTTATAGAGTGGCCGCTTGGGTAAAGGAGGGCGCGGTCCCCAGACTCCTCCTCTCAGGACCACTGTATGCTCTTAAAAATGATGGAGGGCCTTAGAATGCTTTTGCTGGCGTGGGTTGTAGCTGTCGGTGTTACCATATTATAAATTAAAACGATTAAAAATAAATTTAATAGCTGTATTCCCCCCGCTCCAAAATAGAGTGCTATTGTTTTACAGTTTGCAAATCTTTTTGAAGTCTGAATAGAAAAATGGACTCTCACGTCTGCTTCTGCATTGGGTCTACTGCAGTATATCGCTTTGGTTGACGTACAGGAAGAACATCGGCCTCACGCAGATACAAAGGAAGCACCTGCAGACCCAGCTGTGAGCACCTCGGGGCACCTGGCCAGGCATTGGGAATAGCAGTGGGTCAGGAAAATGAGCTTACCGCTTGGAGCATCCCTTTTCCCCCACCCTGGGCCTACAGGGGAGGCCTTGTGAGTTTGCTTAGGACCCTCCCTAGGGTCGGTTGAGAGGTGGGGACAGAAACAGCTCCTTCTAGACGTAAGTAGTCCCCCAGGAGAGGGGAGGGGACCTTAGA